TTTCCTAAGCTAAGCTTAACAAATTCCCTGTGTCGGAAATGGTTTCGGTATTCACGTGCATCGACGACGCGTGCTGCACTGAATCGAGGAAAGATATAAAGGCGCGCACGGCGAGGACGAGCGATACGGATTCAGGTCCTCGGGCCGCGCCGCGAGAGAGGAGGAGAAAAGGAGAGAAAGAGAGAGAGAGAGAGAGAGAGAGAGAAAGAGGGGGTAGCTAGTCGTCAAAGAGTGGCTAAGACGCGTTGCACCTTGAGCGAGCGATGAACGGCTCGTTGACCAACACTCGTTGGTCCATCGTCGAGAGGTCCATAATGCTCGTAACACCCTCTTCAGAAGCGCCTTATTCACGTGGAGCCCCATGAAAGCTCGTAATATCCAGGAGCAGTCTCGGGGGGCGCCTGCGCACGCGCGACCACGAGACGTCCAGACTCTCTCTCTCTCTCTCTCTCTTTGCTCTTCCGCGGCCATAATTACGAGACGTTAATTACACGATGAATGCACCCGCGGCATAGGAGAGCCGCGTCACTCGAGAGCGGTGAGCTTTCAAGGGTAATGCGGCAGCCACTCAGGTACACCAGATGGTGTCGATTCGTTCGAGTTCGCTCTTTTATATCCAGCCACGAGTGTTGTTGTTCCGGCTCCAGTTCCGATGCAACGGATAATATGGATCGCATATGCCTAATCGCCCCTTATAGTAACCCAACTATTAACGGGATTCTCTCACGAGAGAGAGAATGTCGTTTCTCTTCCTTCTCTCCGCTCCATGAGCGAAACTTACTCGGTTTTATTTCTTTTCTCTTGCACGCTCTTTTTATTATAAGAGAAGGAGGGGGAGTTCGTAGTCAAAAATATCGATTCGTCGATTCGTATCTCGGCGCGATTGAAAGAATTACGAGACCACTCGATCCTCGATGCGTGCGGGATCGAAGTGTGCAGCGCGACTTCTTCTCGGCGACGGTATTACCGCCCCGTATTCGTGAGCTAACGCTAACTCCCGTTCTTAATTAGCAACGAATCTGCTTTGAGCGGTTTTTTTCAAACCGTAAATCGATGACTCGCAAAGTAGCTCGTGGGGTCGATGACCCAACAGTTGGCGCGGATTCGAGGGAAGAAATTGCCGCTACGACCGACGAGTGGTAGTAGCGCCGACCGATATTCAAACTGATGCTTAGGTTAGGTAGCTAAACTGGCTTTAGAATTTACGGGTATTCCGTCTTCTCTCGTTTCCTCGAACCCTTCAACCTTCCGTTTCTGTTAACCACCTCTTCGCTCTGGTTAACTTGCCTCTTCGATCGTACGTTGCTCGTTACATCGCGAGATTTATCGATAAAAATGTTGCCGTTTGGGAAAAAACGTTCGAAAAACGATAACACGAAGATGAGACGACGATAACGGATAAAACTCGGATCTCCATTATCCTCGTGAAAGGATAATCAATAACAGGGGATAAATTTAATCAAGTACGTGACTCGGTTATTACTTGTTGGCACCGACCGTCCCGGGATTCAAGTATTCGAAATCGAATCAATGATTCACAGCGCGTTCGGTCACGACGGTATGCCAAATCGCTTATTCCGCGCTCCACTTCTCCCGAGAATATTATTCTCCCGTTGATATTTTATCCGGATTTATACGGCGATAAACGGCGAAACACAAACGAGGTGGGTGGCGCTTAACGTTACCCGTGAATTATTATTGTTCTAACCATCGATAAGATTCCATTACTTTTATCGTCGGGTGATACAACGTAACCGCGTAACCGGCGCCCTGCTGCCAAGGCCTTCTGCAAATTTATAGCCGATACATGATTTATCGGCCGGCTCGGCAATTAAATCGCAGTTTATATTAAGCCAGTCTGCGAAATCCATAAAGGGTTATTACCGTTGGAGATAAACCGAGGGCAGGAGGGGATCCAGAATCTGGGCGAACGCGAGCCTTCGCTCGCGATTAAATTAAGCCAAATTACGCGCGGGGAAATGAATAATTTTCGGGCTTTCGAAAATATGACGTCGAACCGTTACATCTCTTCTATTATCCTATCATCGAAATCGAAGGAATATTCGGAATGAAATCTCGAGATCTAATCATCCTCGAGCGAAAGAGAGTAGGGGGAACTAAGATTTGTGCGAGTAATAATTTTCAAAGAGCCGCCAATCTTTGAAAACCTTTCTCAAACGCCTCGAATACGGGTACACTGTGTAACAATCATTACGCCCTCATAGTGAAAATTCAAACGGATATTAACTTTTTAACCGTCATCGATTTTACTCGATGATCCTCGAAATAATACTTTGTCCTGTGTCGAAATAAATAAATAAAAGGGTACAGGCGAGATTTTATCGCGAGATCTTTTCTCCAACGACGGACGACAAAGTTATTCTCTCCTCCCCCTCTCAGGCGGAGCCAGGCATACGAGATGAATACGAAACTCCGGGACAAAAGTCGGTTCGAAAAGAAACTTCCATTTATACCAGATGCCATTCGAAAGAGACAAACTGCTACGAGCAAGAACATGAAAACGCGTACGCTCACCTACCCACCACGAGTTAAGTTTTACGAGCGTCCGTGAACCCCAACGGAAAGCTTTGTGGATAGGTCACGAACATCGGCGAGCAACACACGGATCGTGAACCCTAGACAGGTCGACAGCTGTAGCGACAGTCGTAACGCTAAACCAAATCGAATAACGAGGGAGGGAGGGAAGGAAAAGTAGCACGGAACGAGCGAGAAACTGTGCCTTAGTCGCGTTTGTGAGGATTCCGGTGAGAACGAAGCCAAGCATCTTGCGCTTCGGGCACGAGAGTTTAACAATGTTTATTCGAAGACGCGTATTATTACGACGAGAGAGAGAAATTTTCTCCATTTTTTTTATTAGCAAAAATAAAAGAAAAGAAGGCACGAAAAGAAGAATGATCGAGTTCGAAATGTTATTACAGAAAGAAAAAAAAGATTATACGCGTTTATTCTCGTCGATACTCCATCATTTTTATTTACCGTGAAAATTTGTCCTTCCCTCGTAAACGATCAATCGCAAAGAGGAGACAGGATCGAAATTTTCCCTGTACCAAACGGTCAGAACCAACGCCATCACTTAGCCGACCATCGACAAACCCCATGAGCCAAAGTCAATAGCTAATATTGCCCGTTTAGATCGAGCTTGGACGAACGCAGAGAATGCCTCCTCGTTCAAAATGAAACTCCCCTTTACCACCCCCCTCGTCATCTAATTCACCGTCTCTCGGTACATCTCTCTCTCTCTCTCTCTCTTCCCCTCCGTTCCGTTATGTGCCGCCTAGTTCCCGGCCAAATGTTATTCAAACGAACGTCTCTCGTCTTCGTTCGACACGCACGCGTTTCCCTGATACCGGTAATTAGTTATAAACATTGGTGCCATTGACGTAACCGAGCCAATATTGTTTTATATGCGACAGAGTTCGAATCAGGGGGCGAAAAGGCAACTATAGAGGCCCCCTTCCCCCCACAGGTTTGGTTAAACGGTCACGCATCGACCGTCCAAACGACTTATATATTCATGCGATCGATCGATTCCCGCTATTCAACGAATTAAACGTTTGTTGTTCCATGTCACGCGATTTCCATGTTATCTAAAAAGAACCGAAGAATTCGATTCGGAAGAAGAATGTAACGAGTTTAATCTTCAAGACGCGACACACACTCTTTCGATCTCTTTCTCCTCGATCTGTGCAGAATTCTGTTTTTTTCCCCCCTCTCTCATCTCTTATGCACTTATCTCTCGAACCGGGGATATCAAACTGCTCGCTTCGAGCCTCGTCTCGCACACTCGATCGTTTCGCATCGAAGTACGATATACGGCGAGTATTCTCCGCATTTGCTAACTCTTACACGAACCCCTCTCGACCAACGCGAAGACTGCGAAAAACAGGAGGAGATCTCGATGATATTAGAGTAGAAAACCTTCCCCTAAAGGGGACGAGACAGTCCTCCAAGTGTCACGGATATATGCCTCCTTCCTTCTTTCACCGGATTTTTGTTCCCCCCTCGTGTTTTTGTTCCTTTCCGGTTCCCACCGTGCGCACCGATGTACGCTCTATTAGTCTCTATCGTCGAATAATTACATCCTTGGATATTAACCACCGCCCCATCGTTATTGTTCCCCGTGTATCTCGATGTAAAAATCGCGTTCGAGACGTGTAACCAACGCGAAGGAAACGGCGAGGGGTCGGAACGCGCGCGCGCACACACACATACACATACGCACGCACGCACTCGCTCCATCGCGACAATAGCGGAAATAGCTACTGATTCGAAATCCCTTGTGCACTCGACATTAATTCTCGCTACTCGGCGAGTCCCTTCTGAGAAGAAAAAACAACGAATGGATCGGTAGGCGGCAGTGACAGAGGCGAGGAAGAGAAACGGGGAGAGAGGGAGCGAGGGGAGAGAGAGAGAAGTGGTGAAAGAAGAAAGGCAAGTGTGAAGATACCGACTACGTGTAAGAGGACGCGAAGCAACAGAGGATGTTCATCCGCGATACTTTTTAACGAGTGGATGCAGTTCCAAACACGGAGATAAGTTTTGCAACGATCCCTTATAACAATATACTTTGCTACGTACGATTACTAAATACGATTGCAAAATTTGTGTGTGTGTGTGTGTGTGTGTGTGTGTGTGTGTGTGTGTGTGTGTGTGTGTGTGTGTGTGTGTGTGTGTGTGTGTACAATGATAATTACGCACGACGATCTTCTTGGAAATCTTATGCGAAACTTGTATAAAAGTTAACATAATCGCGAATAAATATCTATATCTGTATCTTTCTCTGTATATAAAAATTTATGTAAACATCCTAAATAATAGTTTCAAATGGAAAATATTCGCGAAATGAAACGCAGAAAACGAAATTTTTTACGACCAACTATCGGAACATTGTTTATCAACGAAACATAGTGCGAATATACGCAATATAAACTAGCATTAAATTGTCGAATAAAATTAAATTAAAATTTAAAATTAAAGACTCACCGGTCGTAGAAGACGAACGACGCAGTTACTCAGCGCGAAGAAATGTCACCCTCCAATGATTCATCGTTGTCCGCCGCGCTTCGTTTCGATGCACCTGTTCGATTGCACTTTACCGTCACACTTCATACACAACCGTCAAATTCCTGTTGCGCCCCCTTCATCGCCGCGCGAAAACGACCAGCGATCCTCGTCACGAACGAATTTCGAAATATTTCGATTCCTTCCTTCTATCGGGACCTGCTCTATGCCACGGTTCCCACGATATAACCGGTTCCACTAGCGCATTCTCGAATTCGCGAACGTTAATTCTTCACGCCCGAAAAAGAAGAAATAATCATCTTTCCGACGCGAAGACGACAATTCGTTTACTACGACGTAACGGTTTGACGAAAATGCTTCGTAACACTCGCGTATTATTCACTCGCCACGATTATCCACGCCTAAAATAACGTATAACTCTTTCTCTTTCTCTCAACTCGGTGCAACATGCAATAAAAAACACATGGTATAGAAAAAATTCACGACGAAATCACGATTCGATTATTTTAATAACGATACGCTCCACTCGTTCGTACACGACCGAATCCACCGAAGTCACGATACACACTGAACGTTATGTCCTTCGAAAGAATGTATGTTTTGTTGATACCGAATGTTATGTTTTGTTTACCTTTCACAGCGAACGAAAGTCAATTGCGACATAATATTACGATACCGAGAATTATCTAGCTTCGAGGATTCTACGAATTCGCGTAATTAAATAACAACTACAATTACGCGACAATTTCCATTGCGATTATCGCGATCGACTTTCGAGAAATTTATCGAGTACCGGCCGGTCTCGAACTCCGCTGTCAACTTCACGTCGTTGCGCAAATCATAGTCGCAGATCGTGCGTCTTGTCATTATGGCGGTGATGCGAATTAAGAATTATATGCTATGGATGAAGAAAAATATAACTCACGATAATGGTATATCGTACGGTGATCACCACGGTCGCGAGGCACGTTGCACAGTGCCGAGTTAATCGAGATTTCGCGGGCTCCTCCTGCGATGTTGGAAGAGCGCGAATGCACACGGGATGCGCGCGTCCCGGCGGCTGCGCGTGCACTGCCCGCGCTGTTCCCGTACCAATACCCCCCCACCCTCTTCTCTTCGTCTTCTTCTGCAGAAACGAGCGTATACGGGACCCCATGTCCCTTTCTCGTCCTCTCTCTCTTCCCCCCTCCCTCCCCGCCACTAGTTTTCGCTCTCTCCCTTCCTCCCCGGTGGCTCGTCCTTTTTCTCTTTCTCCCAATCTCGAAATCCCCTATACCACTACCGAGAGTCAATCCCTTCTCCGGTCAACGTAAATAGCGTACGGAGAATCAGTACGTACCTGGACATTGTCCTTGGGATACGATGATATTCCTATAAACAGAAGGAGAGATTTCGTTCTTTTGCATCGTTTATTATTCGCTTGATTACCGCTGTTACACGACTGCAATTGCACGGGACATTTCGAATTTTTTGCGTGACTCGCGATCACCCGAGCATCTTGATCGTAACTTTTTTCGCTTATTAAGAAACCGTACGAGAGTCTTTAAACGGAAATCGTATTGTACGAGGTAAACTAGGAGAGTATTAAATTTTGAGCGGGAAACATTTGAATTACGATACGATGGAATCGAACGTTTTTCTCGTATATGGCGAAATGATTCGATGGAATATTTTAATAAATATCTCGATATAATACGCAGAAAAGAAACCAGTTATTCAACTTGTGCGTTGACCTTAATATAATATGCATCGAAATATTCGAAAAGATGTATCGAGAATTCGCACGGAGGTAAATTTAAAGGGAAGGAATTTTTAATCAACCGAAATGGAACGGTCTTCGAATCTGTCCGAATTTTACGGTTCATCAACCGTACCCATCTACATTAATATTAATTACCTTATTTCTCTGACGGACTACCCTCCGAGTCCCTCTCAATGTCGTCGGCTCTTCGTCTCTTATATGCCCCAACCGAGACAACTCGACACGCGTTCTTACACGCACGTTTCTACATAAAAGCGGATGCATGTGTGATACGAGTCTCGAGCGTTAGACTCGAGCGTGTAACGCCTCTCGAAACGTGCATCTTATCGCTATCCCTTCTGTGAATTCTAAATTAATTTTCATGGCGTTCAAAATCGACGTCGATCCGTCCTTCGTTTCCTCGTGAATAATATAAAGTTTCATTCCATTCAATTTCAACGGGATATCCGTTCGATTCAATAACTCGTTACACGCGATAATATATATCGGAGCGTGAAGAACAGCCGGATCGATGTAAAGATAGCGCAGGTCGTTGCGTAGGTGGAAAAGTGTAGCCCAATATATCTCCATCATTCAAGACACGGTGTGAACGAGACTTTAAGGAGTCAACGATTCACGATACGCGTATATATTATAAGATGCACGACCAGGTAGTACGAGAGTAGCTCGGATGTACCTAAGTATATATCGAGTATCGAGCGTGCCCTTGGGGGGATACCACGGGGGCGAGAAAGAGAGCGCGGGCACGGGTGGAAAGAGCGCATAAACGAAGGAACAGAAAAGAAAACGATTGAGATTGAATTATAGCTCGCGGCTTAAACGTTGGATTCAAATCGATCCCATATATCACATTACTTGGCACCTTTATTTTGCTTTCTACGATCCTACCCCTTCCCCCGATCTGTCCATTGTTTCACCGTCTCTCTCTCTCTCTCTCTCTCTCTTCCTTTCCCTTTGTTTCTTTCTTACATAAGACCCGGTGCGTGCAACATTGTATGTACAACAAGGTACGATCAATTGTACCGCTCTCTTCCAATCTCGTCTTCTACGCCCACGCCATCGATTTTCGATCGACCCACACCCCTAATATAATTCGTCGGCTATCGAACACCACTTTTTTCGCGATTGTCGCAAATAATTTATATCAACGAAACGAACTTCTCCTTTCGTCCCGTTCCATCCGTCGATCGTAAGGGTAAAAGAAAGAGTCGAAGATTCAATGTCAAAAGGTGGGTAGAAAATTTATTCCTAACGTGACTAACGAACAGGCGACGCTATTTTACGTTAGCCATGTTTTTCCCCCCATTTGCACCGAGTAGAAGAAGAAGGCATAAACAAGAGAGAAAGCAGGCATTACATTGCCGCCACCTTTTAGCCGAGCTTACGATAATTTTCTCGTGTTTACGGTCGGCAGAGTATCGCGTCGCTTTTTCCCTGGAGAGAGGTAAAAAACATTGGTTGGAATAGCGCTATGCCTAGGACACGGAGATTGGAAACGCCGGCGCCAACACTTGCAATTCCCTTGTACCGCTTGCGTATATATCGGCAACGATCCTACACGCAGCTGGCGTGTAAATCAAGTGGACTTCGTTAATGCTCGTCGAGGGCCCGAATCAATTAAAATCGATGCTCGAGGGGCAAGAAAACGTTACCGACCAACTTTCCACGTACGAAATCGTTGGCGAAAAAATTCTTTATTACGAACCTTTTCTTCTTCTTCTTCTTCTTCTTCTTCTTTTTCTTCTTCTTTATCAAACCTCGTTTCGTCCTCTTCGTACGTTCCAACTACGAACCGATTCTCCGATCCTTCGCCTTCGCCTTCCGATTCAAACCTCTTTCCACCTCGGTGATACATAAGGTTTATGCACACGATGCATTCACGCGTTCGTGCATCCAGTCACGGCACGTTTAAACGAGTTTCGTTACGGAGATTGTCCAGTTGTCATCCCGTTGCTTCGCCGCGGCAAGAGTCGTGTATGAAACTCGTCGTGACCGTGTCCGCGAAGATAAAATTGTTAACAGTGAAATAAAAGAAAAATACCGTCTTAATTTTTTTTCAATCTGCGAGTCGAACGTTATCTTAAACATCTTTCGATGGTAAAATATCAGCAAGTTTTTTTTTAAGCGTTGAGAAATTAAGGACTCGCGCTCTTAAAAAAAAAAAAAAAAAAAAA